TTGTTATATAAGGTTAATCATTATTCAATAATCAGTTGGTTACAAATTACTAGTAACTATCAAATTACAATCATACTTATTAATATTTTTAACTAAACTATTGAAGAGTCTCAAAAACTAGAATGAAACAGTTATCTTGAATATGTGCAGTAAACTAATAAATTACAAAAATCTACAACTAATTGATCACTGAGTAGTGAGTAGTCTAGTGTTATTTTTGGTGCTAACTTAATTCTACTGATCAAATTAAAATGTAACCACTGGTGTAAGTGATTCAACACTATGCTGAGGCATAAAATAGTTAAAAGTAGTCAGTCGGGAACTGTAAACCTATTTTTTTTCTATTTGGCACCAATCAGCAAGGTGTACCTGTTATCACACAATGTTAAAGGTACACTTGTATATCTGGATGACAGGGGATCGAACCCATCAGAGAGAATAAGTTAACTTTGGATTACGTGTAAACTCTGCTGATGAGTGCCAAATAGCTCGATACCTGAATCCAGTGTTTCTTATCGACTACGCCCGATTACCACATTATTTAAATAATTTAAAACGATGTTATTAAAAAATTAGGGTAAAGTATTTCTTATCTCCTTTTCATCTCCAATAAAAATAAATTATTTTATTATATCCAAGTATAATTCGAAATTCAATGATGGGTAGCTTGTATCAGTTTAGAATTCAAAAAAATACCATCTTTGTTTATCACTTAAATGCTTAAAACTGATAAATATGTGAAGACTAAAGAAAAAAAAACCCACAAATTTTAAAACTTGAAGATAAAGTTCCTTGTAACGTAATACCAAAGAACTAATTACACAAATATTCAACAACACAGGGGTGGAACGCATTTTCGTCCTAGTTTTGTTTTCGAAACTGTTAACTGTAAACTCTTTATTTTAACTGCGATTCTAATTTCTAAGTCTGACTCAAATTCCTAACTCAACCACTAACCATAACACCTAATGACAATTTAACTCCTAATTGTAAATCTTAACCAAACTTTGAGTTTTTTTAAGGTTTTTATTGAATAAATTACTAATTTATATCAAAAAATATCCTGACTGGTTGTAAAGTGACTTTCTCAGGTTCACTTTTATAGTTGATGAAGATCATTAGGATGGAATATTTTTATTGATATCCATATTCAATATGCAATATTTCATTTATTAATTGACTAAAATGTATTGAATAGGATCGCTTATCATTAGAATTCTAACTTCATCAATCTTTTCCTATATCAGCATAAACATAAATGAATTTTGAATTCTAGTCATGTGTTGAGTGTATTCATAATTATACAAATGCATCATATCGTTAAATGAGATAATCTAGTTTTTCCTATAGAAAGTGTATAAATAATTAACTATTTTTATTAAGTGGAATTCGTATATTTCAAATATGATTATCTGTGTTCGTAACTTTGAATAGCTGAAAAACTATGCTTGAGGACTTCGAAAATGTTTACAGTTAAAAATAAATATTTATCTTGTTATCTTAATATCTGTCTTATTTAGAAGTTTACGAATAGGTCTTCTGATGATAATTAAGACGTCAACTACGATGGTAAACACGATTGCATGCCTCAGATTTTATTGATGAATGAGTTACAAGAAGTCGAAAAATTCGGTTATGTGAATCCTTTTTCAATTTTCGTAAAATGACTGAGATTTAGCAGGAATTTTTCGATTACTGCTATGATGATAACTGCACAAGGATCTGATAATATAATTAAGTTGCTTTTTTATCGCAATACCTATATGGTGAGTTTAAGATGCATAATAATGCCGGATTTTTAGCAAAGATAATGAAAATTTATTGGTTAAAAACTATCTTGATAATAATTAGGTCTTTACCGCTTGATTTTCTAACTCTCAACGAGCATACATATTGATACTAATAGGAAAGGTTAGAAAACAGTTGAATAATCAATCATTGCCAACTTATCCAGGTGATTAGTTAATCCACTTCTACTTATAATAAGTAATAGTATTAAATTTTGGAAATCTAGTTTTTTTTCACGATGACAGTTACACTTAACACAGATAACAACTAGAAAGTTTATCCAATTAGAAATAGATTAGTTTCAAGCACATTCAATATGTTATAATCACCAATCACAGTCATTCTAACTATTAGCATATACTTAATGAATAATATAAATGATACGTCAGTTAATGCATAATGATTTGTTAATTATGTGCATCACTGTCTAGTACATTATATTTCCTATGAATTGTTTTTAATAAACTAGATTATTCGTTTGTCACTAATTTAAAAGCCTCATTTTAAAACGAATGACATGATGAAATCTTCATTAATCTTTCATGTAGGGTACATCATATGAATCAATTAAAAAAGATATTGTACTATTGTTACTAATGCATATAATTAATTCATTTTCATTGTAAAATAAAGAAATATTTACTACTTAAGAGGTGGTCTTATTCATTGTTTCACAACACATATTATACAGTTTTGTATTGATTGTCAGATTTTTACGTCTAGACTATGTAAGAAAATCAAATTTTATTTAAATAATCTGTAAACCACTAATAAATAGATATTTGTATTGTTTAAAGTAATTGGTATTCTATTATATTGATATATGAACGGCATATGTGTTCTTTCATCAATGATAACTATATTCTACTGTCATCAAACTACTGATGTGATTATTTTATTCTTTTAGTCAAACGAGAATATTTTTGACAGGTGATATATAAAATGTCATTCGAGCAGTATATATATAATTAGTAATAGCTCATTTATCCCTAAGTAATTAAATTTAACACTATCTGTTAACATTTTGTAAGTGGATATTTCCTATTTCTTCTTGTTAATATTTTGAGGTTTTTGTTCAAATAGAAGATGACATTATATTAATGATTAAAAATTAGAATAATAACTATACAAACTGGATTCACTAAGTAATTTTATTTTAAGATAAATTCTTCCATAAAATGATGAAAATGAACTGCTGAAAACTAAGAGTAGTAAAAAAAAACTTTTGTACCGGTTTGAAACTTCTTAGAAGTGAGCATAAACGACCAGAGAACAGAATCGCATCAATGAGACTTAAGTTTCGAAACGAGTATGGTACATTTGAACTATTGAGTTTGAATCCAGTCATTGCACAATATAGTGCCTTATCGTTTGTGCTCGAAACGTCTAATTTTCGTTTATGACTTCTCAAAAGTGCAAGAGATTTCACAGAGACTGAAGTCTGGAACGAGAATTATTCCGACTCAGCAGTTCTGTTTATCGTCCTGGGTAATAGACCTATGAATTTATCAGTAAGTTGGGAACGGAACTAAAACAAGTGAGGAGTCCAGTACTACCTAGTTCCAGAGGTTCTTTAAACAATAATATTCCTTGACAAAAGTCTATAACCAAATAAAAATAACTGCCAAGATTCATCCAACAAAGAAAGTGGTTATTATTTTAATTCACAAATTTACGATATGATCAACAATCTAATATATGTATTAAGTGGTTGTGTTTAGACGTCCCTAACAAATTGTTTGTTTTTTCTAACCTTTGTTATGGTTACAATTCTGATGTATATACCAAGATTTTATATCTTTGACCTGTTTTAATGCTACATATTTCCTCATTTTTAATTTTGGATATCAGTAAGTGATTCCATTAATCTTTCAGCTAGTTTACGTGTAGTTTCTTTTATTTAAACCTTGTTTTCTAGTAATGACAGATATATTAAAGGAAATTTTTAAAGATTTACTCATTTTTGTCACAGACTATATAATTGAAATAAAACACTTTAATAATGTTCTCTATTTAATGCCATACATGAGATTATCATTATTTAATATCTGTTGACAAGCATGAAACACTGGATTATTGAGTAGTAAATACATTTCTTTTGGATTATTTATTTAAAATTACGATATTTTAATGATAAAAATCGAGGAAGTAAACTCTTGTGAGGATTTTTAATTTTAGTCTTGTAGATCAATGTATAGTCTTTTCATATTCAGAATTTCTCAAAGTGTTATGACATAATCATTTCATTATAATGTATTAAATAACTGAGATTATGAATGTACAGTTTCAGTTGATGGTATAGTCTAAAAGATTTCTTTTGGTAAATAGTTTTCACTTTACTATTGTATTGAGACAATGTGGTTTATTTCAACAACAGTCCACTACTGGAGTGTGTAAAGAAAAGTATGCTGCATAATACATGGATGGCGATGAATATAACCTCCATCTCTAAATAGAACTAATTAGGTTTTCAGCTGTAACACTACATATGTCTTAATTATAAATTTTTACTATCATTTTGCATGAAGTCTAGTAACACAAATTTTAATAATGAGTATTCATATATATTACATTAGTTATCGGTATGTCAGGTAATTCGAGGTAGTTAGTAGTACACCTTGGACCTAGTTTCCGTGTTATTTGGCCCTTGCCAACATGTACCTATCATATAAAACTGGTGCCTTCAGGTAGATTCAAACCACAAACACTCAGCTCCACAAACTGAAAAGTTACCTCTGAGCTATTAGGAGTTTTATTGACTATCTGTAGGTCTAAACATTTACAACTGACTAATCACCGAGTTTTGATGAATGTCATAATTATCCAGTCCATGAGATCTGAGCAAGCTTCACTTGTCACGTTTTTTGATTAGTACTACGGAATTACGTTCCTATCGATTTATATAATCTAGTAATGATTAAAAAGGCTTTGATAACCTTCGTATTTACAACTGCAGTGTTGCGAATTTCTTTCCACTAAGGTTGATTTTAACAGATACACGGTTATTTCAAGATGATACTACCAATAATAATAAGAAAGAGTATGTATGGTTGCAAAATAATGAACTTTTTGTATAATAATCTTTCTATAAAATTCACTAAAATTTCAGGCTCAACGAAAATGTTTAATCTTCATTCTTCTTGTTTAACTGAAATTTTAGATAAAAAATAATGATAATTTACAAAATTCCAAAACTTTATGTTACAACTCACTTTAACCTGACTTTCAGACATTCCTAAGAAATATGCTAAACGAGCTCTTTCTGGACCAGCTAAATATTTTGTTTGTTCAAATGTTTTCTCCAATGCAAATATTTGTTGACCAGAAAACGTTGGACGTGTATGCTTCTTTTTTCCATCTTTATCGATAACACTAATTGTATTTTCTGATTTAAACAAAAAATCGATATAAAAGAATAAATATCATTCACTAATCGATTTCTTAAAATTTTAAAAGCTACTTATTTGATAATTCAAAATGGTAAAATAAACAATGAAAAAATATTAAAAGAAAGGGGGTTTTGTGCAGATTGTCGAAACTTTTTTTAATAGTTGAATTCATGAGTCAATTAAAGCTAGCCCATCATGGAAAACCTGGAAGTACTAAACCGACGTCTCGTCCTAGTATGGGACTCATCAGTAGTGAGCATCCGCGATCTCACACACGAGGTTCGAACCCAAGACCTCCAGTCTCACACGAGAGTCCTTAACCTCTAGACCACTGAGTCGGCATCCAACGTTGTCAATGTCTAACTCTAATCGATTCATGATCTTGCACAACCCTTCATCTATTGTCCGAAGTGGATAACTAGGATGAGACGTCAGTTTAGTACTTCCAGGTTTCCCATGGTGGTCTAAATTAGATCGACGCATGAAAACAAATGAGGTTACATGTGGTTGTTTGGATAAAATTATCTGAGGCTATTACGTCCAACCTTGACAACGATAACTACAATTTTTGTTATTATTGTCCTATGCTCCAATTTCTCGTTAGTTTTTTTCTTCCCAGTTGTAAATGATCCTAGGTACTATGTAAAAAAGATGGAACTACTCTTAGTTACACTATTAACCCGAAAAATGATATTTAAATCTTCTTACTAAAAAAAACATTAATTCCAAACGGGTAATGTCTTATCAAAATAACTCATAATTCACATCTTTTCAAACTATGTATTCTAATACTTTCTTCCATTACATATTATATTCCTTTTTGTATTAACCTGATAACCAACATATACTCTATGATTATTTTCGGAATATGTATTCTTTTTTTGGTATTATAATAAGTAGTAGGTAGACAATGAAAAGATTTATTCATATTTCTATTCTATTAGTTATTATTGGGATAATATTGAAACATAAATTTAACTATTTACTGCTTTTAAAAGTGAAACTTGTTTAAAATAATATTAAGTCAAACATTAATCGTCCATAATATACTCAATTATATTACAAATTATAGAAGCTTTAGAGTTATGATTAGAGTAGAAGGTAATTTGAGTACTTTTGTATTTTTAGATCTACTGTTTTTTTTAATAGTGAATTCAATAGATTGAATTTCCTTTATCGATTTAAATAGAAACAAATATGGTTAGCATTCCAATATACAATGAAAGGCTTTTGTTTATTATTATTTTCTTAAATCGTCGATAAACAATTTAAAATTATACCATCTATCATGATAATCCAGTAATAGATGTGTTAACCAATAAATACAGAATGATTATTTCTTGGAATAAATCAATTAAACTGTTTAAAAAACACTATGCAGTTTAATTCTCATCCTCTTATATGTTCTCTCTGATGTTCAACAAACATTCAAATATCTAACTAATGAGAATGAGTTTCTTTTGAACATTGAAACGTTCACTCATTTCGATGTATCTATTTGCATGTTTATCGCACAGTTTTCAATAGTTTACAATGGTTTTTGTATCATGATTCTATGTTATGTTTTTTTAGTCATTGAATTGTTTTAAGAACCTACTCTTCTCCGTTATTATAAATTCAATTTGTTTTTAATTGACAGGAAACTTTTCTATTCTACAAGTTTTCTTTCTTTTCCCTCATTTAATTGTTATAATGACTGATTATAGTCGTTTCAGTGAATTAGCCTACAATATCCATGTTATGATCAATATCTGTTGTAAATTTTAAATAATAATAATTATTATTATTGTTGTTAGTGATAATTTACACTTATCTTATTACAGCTTACGTTATCATGTCAGACAAATGAAAAAAAAGCATGAAGAATTAACGGACAATTAACAGTGACAAAATGTCCGTCGACCGTTGAACTGTTATTAATTTAAACAATAATATTTATATTTGGGTAAAAATGAAATCGCATAAAATTTAATTATCGTCAATAAACACAGTAAGAAACTGGAGTTATTATTATTAAAATTATTATTATTATTATTATTATTATTCAAATAGATATACAAACAAACTTTTATGACGTGTTTATTGTATTTCTGAAATTAATAGTTTCATTACGTTACTGAGATAATCCATTACTATATTTTAAGTATATGTAAGCTTAAATAGCTTAATTATTGTTCCGTCAACGGTATATATATATATATATATATATATATATATATATATATATATATGAAACTGTTTAAGTTAGTGTAGACAGATATTTCAGTATTTAGTTAAGTGATAAATTCGGAAAGCTGGTCTTGGTAATAACAAGAACCAATGAAAAACTTATAATTTTAATAATGCCATATAAGGATAAGCTTAATGTGAACTTTGGAGAGGTTGGTGATTTCAAAAACAATCTATGTATGTATGGCGGTGTCATATTATTGAAGACCTTCATACTGTAATAAAATAGATGTCGATTTGTTTTTGATTTCTAATGCTCACCTAAATCAGTTCAGTTTATGATATAAGATGTCGTCAATTTTCAGCCATCTCTACAATCCTCTCCTTCTGTTATCATCCATCAGTTCGAGTTGAACTTGTGTCATTAATAACTTGATCATATAGAGTTTGCTAAATTTTAATTTAGTATTGCTTGATTTACAGCGGAATCTCGGTTAATAATTAAGACAGAACATACAATCTTTAGACTGTACTCAGTTTTTGTTGAAAACTCCATGGGAAAATAATCACAGAAATACACACAGATTTCATATATTCACATGTATTTCTTGATATTCAAACAGTTTGTGTCTGAAATTTAAAGTGAATTAAAAGTTGGCATTATTAATAATGTTATTTTAAACTTCTGAGCTAGGCAAATCGAATGCTTTGTCAATAATTGACTGAAATTCATAATGTGATTTAATGCGTCTCAACTCATTCACTCAATGTTGCCTTTCGCCACAATGTCTAGATGTCTTATGCTTAGTCCTTCACTTAGACTATAAGTGTTCAATGATCGAAATTTTCAAACTCGGTTGAAAACAGAAATACGATGGCTTCTGTACTTGCAATAAAAATCACTTTTGAACTCAAATATGATCAAAGGAACCTTTGTCATTAGTTATACCCTCCAACTGAAGATTATTAATTTTATTTCATTTGGTGATTTTTATCCAGAAATTGATCCTTACAGATCAATCTGGAATATGAAAATAGTTCCATATTGCATTTAAGTAGAAGTATGAAATAAGGTCTATCTACTATACTTCAAATCAAAACCAATAAAATATATATATTACATTAAAACATGAATCTTTGAACAACAGATATCTGTAAATAATTCATTACATATAGATGAAAATGAGTTGAAATGAGTATAATTGAATTATTTTATTTATTAACTTATGTTATATAGTAATATATAAACTTTGCAATAAAATATAATATCTACAAATGTTAATTCTTTTCATATTTTGAGTTTAAGACAAATAATCTTAAGTTGCTTGAAGATAATCGCATTTAATGATTAAATCAAGCAAGATTGTTTACAAATTCGAAAAAACGAATGTTATAATTAAACGTTAAATGTAGACAAAGGTAGATGGTGGCTAGTAGTAGAGTCATGGACGGGCGTTTTGTCCTATTTGTAACTCGTCAGTTGGTTGTACCTGCATCTCAGAGTCGATTTTTACTCCAGGATCCGAGTCCCGGGTCCCAAATAGGACGAAACACGCGTTCTGCATTCCGTTGCTAGCCACCATCCATTTGTGCTTATAATGCTTGTGAATTAGGACAATATCGAGGCAATCCGCACAGTATACACATATGTCAATAAGAATCTATTCAGTTACAGTCCTAAACATCAATAGGAAGATTCAGATAAGCAATACAAAAGTGAATCAAACATTAAGTGGTTTTTAATTGAGCGAAAATTGGTCTAGTGGTTTTTTTTCTCATTTTAGTTATTCGACTTGGTGACTACTGTTTTTTTTTTTAAGTGTTTGTAACATTATTATGGGCAACGAATAGTCTTTAATAGTTTGACTTAATGAACGAGAACTCAGGTGAAGACCAGCGATTTCTTACTCGATGATAAAAATTAGATAGTTCTTTCGTAAAATGTGAAGGACCACACATTAAATACTTCATTTGCAAATCTTCAATCAATTGTCCTTTACATCTTTCATGATTCTTCCATTTCTCAATTTCTTTATATTTCCCTTTCTATTTTCTTCAGTGCAATCTTCTCTACTTTCTTTTGACGAACGTTCAACTTCTGATTGATGTTACACATTAGTTGTGTCGATAGACGTAAGTAGCATACACCACAACAATAGATGAAGAAATATTGGAAACCTAAGAATAATCAATTTTTATGTTATTATAGTTTAAATCTTCTTAGGAGTATATAATATTAATCCATTTTTTGAGGAGTCTAGTATCAATCCTTCACATTTTCATCATTGTAAGTCAAGAATGAAAATTGAATTTCAGTCAGTTTTTGTTGGTAATTGTAATATTCTGCGCACATTATTTAGAAACAGTTAGTCAAGATGTCAGCAATAAGATCATTAAAACCATAACTAATAGTGGTATAAATATTGTCTCTGTCTCACGAGATAGTAACTACATGGGCTCAATTGTTCAATGGATCAAGCGTTGAGCTTGTGATGCAAAACGTGTTGGACTCAAGTAACCATGTAAACATGTATGTGCATAAACTTTCATATTTAGAAATCAATTAGTATCCTTTAGTTTGTATAAATTTATCGCTACAAATTAAAGAAATAAACTGTTGACATTTATTGCCTTATGGAATTTGTTTCTTTATTAGAATATTATATATATATATCATTTCTATTATATAACTGAGCTATTCAATGTTTATTTTTTTTAAACATATAAATATAAATATATGCTTCATCATACTTTATTTCTTGTATTGTATTTCCTTAACTGAAGAGGTTATTTCAGTTTATATGGATATTAACTTTTGTATATTAGT